GCTGCTGACAGCCGCTTTATCAATTAAATTCCACATTCCCGGTCTTTGGAGACGCCGCGAACCTCCCTACCTAATAAATCACAGCCCCCCAGTTATTGTTACATGTCCCATCAGTCTATAATAAACTCCCTGCCAACAGGGGCAGGTTATTTATTATGTTGCCTGGACAAGAATGAATGGGGCCCCCATTCTCACAAGGAGAAGAGCAAACGTGACGCCCTCTGCCCTAAAGGCTGAGGCCATGGTAGTAAAAGGGCCAATTAATCAATGTGGGCCTTGCACAGAGGGGAGTCAGGTCTGGAGAGAGGGAGGAAGACCTGGGGTTCTTTCCCCAAAATCCTGCCAGGCTAATGCCCAGGGAGGGATGTGGCTACGCAGGGTGCAGTGGGGGGGTGGGGCTAGGTCTTGGCTGCTTCCCCACCTCCTAATTCCTGTCTGCAAAGGTACTGAACATAGGGTCACCCCCTCAGCCAAGGGGCACATGTAAATATAGTTAACCTCCCTGTTGGGAGGTAACCACACAGGACTGAGCAGATCATGAAACAGTAAATTCCATCCAGATAGCCAGATATTGTGCCTTGATAAACTTCGAGTAACTGAAATTTATTGACGGTGCCAGTGCACTGAGCAGACAAACGGAGGAACGCAGGAGGCAGGGTGCCCCTTGTCTGGGAAAGACAGCAAGGAAAGGTGTGCTGAGTCAGTTTGCTGGATAAACAGCACGCAGGTAAGCCCTGACCCTCGGAAAGCAGTGTGCCAACATCTAAAACACCCAGGAGCTGTTGGGTGCGAAAAACAGTGTGTGATGTGGGCCCTGCAGTCATCTGCCTCCAATTAGATCCCAAATTTAGACGATGCTCTGAGGCCTGCAAGTTAAAACCCAAACCCCTCAGCTTTGCCATGAATCGAGCCCTATCCACATTTCCAACCCTATTTCTCTTGTTACATAACAGACCTCCCTACCCCCATGCATTGGGAGAGCACAGCACGCTCATTTGATCATCCTTATGGTCGCAGACAAGGTCCTCCGTAATGTGGGACCAATATAACTCGGCAGGCTCATTTCCTGGTACCTCCTGTCACACTTGCCTCCGTTCACACTAAAGCTCGTGGCTTCCCTAAACTCTTATGGTTTCTCAGGCTTCCACGCCTTTGCACAAACTGTTCCCTTTGCCCAGAATATCTCTCTGACTTGTCTGCTTGGTGAGCTCTCCTTCCACCCCCACTACCTGATGAACTCCTTATCTATCCTTCAGGATTGGCTCAGAAAATGAGCCTGCAGTGCTTCATGGGACTTGAGTTTTGCCTCCTCATGATGTCGTTTTGGTAGAAGTACTAGACCCTAGGGATTAGGTAGGGAGTGATCCGTGCATGGAGTTTTTCCCATAGTTTGATGCATGCTTTCAGGCACTTTCACTTGGGGTGGAGATGAGGAGGGCGTAAAGAAGAAAACTATTGCTCTCTTAATACCAAAAGCCATTTTCCTTAATTTCTCAGAAGTTCTCACTCTCTCCCACATGACAGCCACACTTGAATTAGGCCCTGAAAAATGTCAGGATTGCATGTGATTTTACACCACCTCGGTCTACTTGCATATTTCCTCCTTGATGGGCACCACCTGTTTGCATGTATGTTTCTCCTTGAGGGCAAGGCTCTGTTTATTTTGTCCCATTTCTGTATCACTCTCATGTGGCTGATTCATACTCAGTGTTCAGAAGATGTCTGTCGAAAGAAAGAATAAGAGATGTTTGGGGGTTGAATGCAACTAACATTGCTTACCCTTTGTTGCTTTGAAGGTCAAATGAGAAGAAGTTGCTATAAAAATGGTAGTGCTTTTCCTTTCTACGTTTTCCCCATGGATCCTCAACACCCAGGGTGTGCTTCTATCTCCATTGTTTCCCTCTCCACTGGTACAGAAACCCCCACTGGGAAATGATGTATGGGACCATTAGATAATCTTCAGCATGCATCCCAAGTCAACGATTTACTTGCTTTTCGTTGCACAGAAATCCTTCCCTTGTCTAGCTCCCAGATATAGAAGGTGAGGAAAGCCTTTCCAGGTAGACAGAAGAGCATAAGAAAAGGCTGGGTCCCAGTGCGATCTTACCCTGGGGGAGGCCAGGAGGCACACAGCAACAGTCCGACTCCCTACTGTGTATGTTACCCTCACAACTTACCCAGTTATTAAATGGTCTCTTACCTTTGGGTTTTACCGTTATGGCACGAAAAGTTACAGCCAACAACATTATTAACATTTTTCGCTACTGAGGAAAACATTTTATTGATTTGTGTTTTTAGCTGGAGCAATACAATTTATTCCTCATAACATTACTGCAATATTTGTGTCCATGAGACATCATAAACAGACACAATCACAGAATGCCTATAAAACTGGAAATGTTCTTCTCTGGAAGAGCAGTCTTTTTGTTTCTTTGGGGATGAGAGCTGGCTGCTTCATCAGTGACGGGGCGAATTCTACAGAATTCTACAGAACTACTGCTATGTGCATGGAGACTCCGTGGAGACTTTTGAGCAAGACTCTGTTTATTAGGCCAACCAAGGGCCTGTGCTGGGCTGGAGAGCACAAAGTGACAAAATTTCCACCCTTGAGATGCTCCTAGTGAGGGACAGACGTGCAAATAAGTAAATAGAACATGGAGAGAGCAAGACTGGAGTTATTGTGCTGTGAAGTGGGGGTGTGGGAAATAAAAAAGGAACAGGATCTGAAGCTGGACCCAAACAACCTAAGATACCCCCTTAAGAAGGATTACTCCAGCACCTGTGGGCTGAGTGGCTGGGAGAGAGCACAAACGCATCTAGGGGACCATTCAGGAGGTTGTTTCAACAGCTAGGATGATAAAGGGGCTTAAAATAGGACACACACCATGGAGACTGGACAGAGGAGTGAATAAAATATGTGGAGGCCCAATTACCTGCCCTCAGGTCATTGTTAGAAAAGGAGAGGGATGGTAGATGGTGGAGTCTAGAATAATTCCCAGGTGTGGGATGTGGGGGTTAGGTGAATGAGAGGAAGGGGTACTACGAGAAAGCCTGGAAAATTCAGTGCCCTCTCCCAACAGCCCCCCCCTCACATGGACAGTTGACATTTTCTCAATGTTTCTAAATTTCTAAGCAAAATATATCATTGGGACCTCTTTCAAATGGGATTACCTTGCCAAAGTACGCCCCCCCCCCCCCGTCATTTGGAATCTGGGTATGTGCACATGTGTGAAAATAGGGAGAGAGATAATGATCAGAATGATGATATAAGGACAAAAGAAAAAGAATATCTTTGGATATCTGGTTTGGAATTGTGAATAAGATTAGGTCCAGAAATATTTAAATTTGAAATTATGACTAAGACTTGGTCACAGGAGCTCGTTTATTCAATATTGAGCACTTACTATGTTTCAGATCTGTGTGTGTGTGTGTGTGTGTGTGTGTGTGTGTGTGTGTGTGTGTGTTTCCCATTAGGAATACGGGAGAGAACCAGAGAGGTCCCTGTCCTCATAGAGTGGGGGGAGAAAGACAATAAACACAATCTCAGGTAGTGGTAAATACCATGAAGAAAAATAAAGCAGAACAAGGGAACAGAGAGTGGTGGAAAAGGTGGGGTAGTGGAGGAGATAGCGGAACTAGGTTAGATGATAATAATAGGTAGGGGTGAGATAGGTGATGGGCATTAAAGAGTACGCTTCTCATGGTGAGCACTGAGTAATGTACAGAATGGTTGATCCCTGTATCGTACACCTGATACTAATATAACACTGTTAACTCTACTGGAATTAAAATACATCTATATGGATGGAACTGGAGGATATTATGCTGAGCGAAATAAGTCAATCAGAGAAAGACAATTATATAGTTTCACTCATATGTGGAATATAAGAAACAGTTCAGAGGATCATAGGGGAAGGGATGGAAAGCTAAATGGGAAGAAATCAAAGAGGGAGACAAACCATGAGAGACTCTTAGAAAACAAACTGAGGGTTCCTGGAGGGGAGGTAGGTAACTGGATTAAGGTAACTGGGTGACATGCATTAAACAGGGCAGGTGATGTGATGAGCGCTGCCTGTTCTGTGCAACTGATGAATTACTGAACTCTGTACCTGAAACTAATGACGTACCATATGCTGGCTAATTCAATTTAGTTTAACAAAATATTAAAAAATAATAGGTCAGAAACGACCTCTTTGGAAAAGACGATATTTGAGCAGAGACCTAAAGCAAGGGAAAGTGGCAAAGACTGTCAGTTGTCACCCTTGAGATGGTGGTACATAGCGCCAGGGACAGCAGCAGCGCCCAGATGACCTGATAGATTTGGGATGTCCATCAGACTTCTGAGGGGCGCGGCTGAGAAGGCAGACGGATGTACATATCTAAGTTCAGAGAGCGGTCTGAGGCCGAGCTAGGGCCTTGGGTGGTATGAGTCGGGCCTGGCTGGAATTCAGCGGACAGTATGGGAGCTCCGTGCGCCAGGTGCTGGGGCTGGCTACGGAGATGAGTGAAGCGATACCGGGACAGACTCGGACCGGACAACGGGTAAGTCCGGTCTGGCTGTGCTCGGAGCTCCGGGCGGGCGGGGACAGGCCCGGCAGCGGGGCCCTCCCCCGCGGCCCCGAGGCGGGGAGCGTGACGCCCCACGCGCATCACAAAGCCGGCGTTGTGAGGGTGGCGGGGCGGGGCGCGGGGCTGGCCGGACCGCCCGCGGAGGCCCGGGAGGCGGGGCGGCGCCCCCACCGTGAGCGCGCGGCGCCCTCTGCAGGCCGCCCGCGGCCGCATCCCGGTAGCCTCCGCCTTCCTCTCCTCCCTCTTTCCGCCTTCCTCGGGCCACATATTTTGTCGTTGTCGCTGTTTCCGAGACTTCCTAAGCTTCCGGCTTCCGTCCCTTCACCCTTCTCCCAGGCCAAGCGTGTCCGTGTCTCCTCGGGAGGACTGCCAATAAAGTTTTTCCTCTTCTCGCTCTTAGGCGCCCTCCCTCGCCTCAAGTATCGCGAGATCCGGCGGCGCGGCGACGATGGCGGCGGCGTTTGAAGCCCCAGCGGCCTTAGCGACGGTGGAGGCCGCTATGCCGGCGGAGTGTGTGGCCTCACAGCTCGTGGCCTCGGAGCCATTCCCCGGGCCGGTGCGGGGTCTGCGGACGGCTCACGACATCAGCGGTCCACGGACCCGCACGGGGGACGTGCTGCTGGCGGAGCCGGCCGACTTCGAGTCCCTGCTGCTGTCGCGGCCGGTGCTGGAGGGGCTTCGCGCAGCTGGCTTCGAGCGGCCCTCGCCGGTGCAGCTCAAGGCCATCCCTCTGGGGCGCTGCGGGCTCGGTGAGGGCGGGGGCCGTGCTCCGGCCGGGAGGGCCCGGGAGGAGCCCCAGGGCGGCCGCCGGTGCAGGCCTCTGCCTGCGGCCAGGCGCTGTGCGCCTTCGAGCCTCAGTTTCCTCTCTTGTAAAACGGAGGCGCGGTGTTCATTTGGAAGAGGGTTACTGCCCTTTGCGCGGTGACCGGTGGCTCTCAGTTCCAGAAGATGAACGGTAGAGGTTCAGGGAAGAGGCATGTTTCTGGATATGACCTCATGCTTTTTTGAACTAAAAACGAAGGTGCCATCTGGGTCCTCTTTGGAGACCCTTCTGGTTCTTTTCATGTTGGTATCTAAGCTTCTTTTAGTCAGTACTGGCTAGTGATATATGTGCATGTATAAGTATATATGTGCGTACAGATGTATATCTGTACATATACATTTTATTTATTTATTTACTCATTTATTTTTCCTCCTCAGATTTAATTGTTCAAGCCAAATCTGGCACTGGGAAAACCTGTGTGTTCTCTACCATTGCTTTGGACTCGCTAGTTCTTGAAAACCTAAGTACGCAGGTAAGTGTAGCTCTGAGAACCCAGAGGAGGAGGGTATGTTATGTGGATTTTATCACAGGTTGGATGCAGTACCAGTGGCTCCTGAGAGACAGAAGAGATGAATTTGATGAATGATCGAGTTAAGCCATATGAAGAGTATAGAAGTAAAGTAGACATTAAAACCGTGAGCGGCTTGGTGGTGTGGATGGTGACCAAGGATTCGTCATTAGCGTTAGAAGTTTGGAAGGTTCTGTTACTGAATCTTAAATAGATTAAGTCTGCCATGGGTGTCAATTTTTTCATTACCTGAAAAAACAGATAGTTCTTTATTCTTTAACTTGCTGACTTAATTGTAGGATTTAGTATTTGGCGTGACTGATGGTAACATGGTGCTCTGGCTATTGCTGGTAACTGCAGGTGATTCTTAGAGCCTCTGTGAGTGTGTCCTATTGATCTCCCATCTTCTAGGTTCTCTTGGAGTAGATCTAAAGATGGCCTTACCCAAATTAATAAGAGATTTAGGTTTGGGGTTTGTCTGTTCAACGAAGTTTGGCTCTGCCCATGTTATGTATAAATAGTATGCCAGTACATCCATATTCAAAGCCTTTTGAGTCCTAAAACCACCACATTCTGGGTTATGCACATAGGAGATCCTTCTGCTTCCCAAGGACCTAAGCTATTCTACTTGTGAATTTGAGATGTATTCGAGATTTTGGCTTCCGACAATTTGGCAGTAGGTGAAATGCCAAAACGCTGAATAAGTTCCATAAACCAAATTTGTCAGATCTTTGTGTTCTCAAAGTAATACATACTCATTTTTGAAAATTGGAAAATTCAGAAAAGAAAGAAGTACCAAGAAACGGCACATACTCTTACCTACCCAGAAAGAAACTGCTGTTAAACTGTTTTGGCATATTTTACTCTAGTTTTGTTTTGTTTTGTTTTGTTTTTAAAGGAACTTTTTTCTTCCCGTAGCTGAGAACGTGTAATTTTACCTTGTCCTTCGGTTGACAGTTACATTGCAGAGTTCTCACTCTGAGTCTCAAGGCTCCTTTTTCATGGACCTAGATATCTGACCCTGATTTGGTCCAGTGACATGGCCTCCCTGCTGTTCTTCTAGTACACTAAGAACATTACTGTCATAAGGCCTTTACATTTGCTGTGTTCTCTTTTTGAAAACAGTTCCCCAGGTGTCACGTAGCTAGCTCTAGTCTGTGGTGTACATTTTGGTCTCTGCTCAAATGTTACTCTCTTAGTGGCCTTCCTAAATTGCCCCATTTAAAACAACTCCTTCCCTTCCTTGTCACTTCTCTCTTTTCCCTGTTTGATTTTTTTTATAGCACTTTTCATTGTATGTCATAATTTATGTATGTTTGTTTATTGTGTATCTTCTTGCACAGAATGAAAGTGCCATGAGAACAAGGACTGTGTATTATTTCTTGTTTTAAAGATTTTATTAATTTATTTGAGGGGGGGTAGAGAGAGAGAACATGAGCCATGGGGAGGAGGCAGAGGGAGAGGGAGAAACAGACTCCCCACTGAGCAGGGAGCCTGATGTGGGGCTTGATCCCAGGACCCTGAGATCATAACTTGAGTCCAGGGCAGACACTTAACTGACTGAGCCACCCAGCACCCCTGGACTGTCTATTGTTGACCATTGACTCTACAGCAACTTACATGTTGCTTAGTACGTAAAATAGGTTTTTGTTTAATATTTGTTGAATGAATGTTGATAAATGAAATTTAATATTTGTTGAGTGAATGAATGGAATAGCTTCCCTTGTCTATAAAAATCCATCATTTAAAATGATCGTTTAAATGAAAGATAGCTCACTGTAGTATGAATGTGCCAATCACATGTACTTCTTCCACTGACTTGTTAAAGGTATATATATTTTATGCTTTTCTAGATTTTGATCTTAGCTCCTACAAGAGAAATTGCTGTACAGATACATTCTGTTATTACAGCTATTGGAATAAAAATGGAAAGCTTAGAGTGTCACGTCTTTATTGGAGGGACTCCATTATCACAAGACAAAACCAGACTTAAAAAGTGTCATATCGCTGTTGGCTCTCCTGGTAAGATATCACTCTGTTCATAACTGGGGCTTTTAAGGAACCGAACACTTTTTGTTTCATAGAAGTGATATAATTAAGGTAAGAATATGGGACTCTTTAATAAATATGGTAATTATCTTGAATATTATAAATGAAGAGGCTTAGACCAGTAAGATACAGACACATGACTGGATTACCACCAGAACTTATGAAATCTCCATTCCGAAGGATGTTTAAGCACACGTATAGAATTGGCTTCTGAGAAGAGGAGGAATGAAATGATTTTCATGAAGCCTTTCTAAGCCATGGATTGGGATTCTTTGCTTCTCTGTTAATCATTCATGAATCACTCATATCAGAATTTAGTATTCAGGGTCTTAGCATTCAGGTCTTTTGATGGGAACAGTGTTAGGGTCCATACTTACTGGTGGTGAAATGTGAGAAAAAAAACAATGGATTTAGCCAAGATCAGAACTCAATTTCTGATTTGTGGTTCAGTGTTTAAATACGTAATAATGAGGGTCCGGTCAAGAAGGTCAGCAGTATAACCTGTGAGTAAGTAGGGTAACAATATTGGCTGAGATTTGCACACATTTAGTACCTCTTAAATATTTCAATATGCTTTTTTCTGGAATTTAGGCAGAATTAAACAACTGATAGAACTTGACTACTTGAATCCAGGCAGTATACGTCTATTTATTCTTGATGAAGCAGATAAGCTTTTAGAAGAAGGCAGCTTCCAGGAGCAAATAAAGTAAGAGAAATAACTTGCTTGACTATTAAAATGGTGTCCTAAAGTGTCTCTTTTTAGCTTTTCCAGGTGGTGGTTACTGTGATTGGTTTTCATGGTGTGTATTTCTCTTCTGTTTCACAGCTGGATTTATTCTTCCTTGCCTGCCAGTAAACAGATGTTGGCAGTATCAGCTACCTACCCTGAATTTTTGGCTAATGCTTTGACAAAGTACATGAGAGATCCCACTTTTGTAAGACTAAATTCCAGTGATCCAAGTCTCATAGGTGAGTAAAGGTATTGGATGCTTAGATTTCTGGTTTGTGATATTCTGGATCTTTCCCTTGCCTAGTTGGCTGTTGCTTTCATATTTGCTCTTAGGATATAGCAAATATATTTGTTTTAATAGAAGACTCTTGACTTCTTTGTAGGTTTGAAGCAATATTACAAAATTGTCAATTCATACCCGTTGGCCCATAAGATTTTTGAGGAAAAGGCTCAGCATTTACAGGAACTGTTCAGCAGAATTCCATTTAATCAAGCCTTAGTCTTTTCTAATTTGCACAGCAGGTAATGTACCTTAAGGGGTCACCGGGGTTCTTGTGAAATAAAAGGTGTTAGGGTTGTATTTATAAAATTATAACCCTCTATGTTACTTTTCATAGAGCACAACATTTGGCAGATATCCTTTCTTCTAAAGGCTTTCCTGCTGAGTGCATTTCAGGTAAGTTCAGCTTTTACTTTAATCTGTGTTTAGTATTTTGACTTGAAGCCTGTCCAAAGTCAGGAGGAAGAAATAGTACTTGTTGAGTTGCCTTATGAATGTGAGGTTACACTGAGTCTTCAGAGTAAAGGAAGTTCCAGGTGAATTTTATATTGGGATTTAATATAGTGGTATTCTTGTTCTTCAAGAAATAACTTGGTATATAATATGAAATTAGAAAATTGGGATGAATTGTCCGTGAAGAACTTAATAATTTTATAAAGTTTGTCTTTGTCATCTTCAGAAAAAAATAGATTGCTTCTTTCCATAATCATTGTGAAAATGCTAAGAACTGCTACTGAATTAACTACTTTAAGGTCTTGTGGAAGGCAAAGATGAATTTTTTTTAAAGATTTTATTTATTTATTTATTTGACAGAGATCACAAGAAGGTGGAGAGGCAGGCAGAGGGCGTGGGGGGAAGCAGGCTCCCACTGAGCAGGGAGCCTGATGCGGGGCTCGATCCCAGGACCCTGGGATCATGACCAGAACCGAAGGCAAAGGCTTATTAACCCACTGAGCCACCCAGGCACCCCTTAAGATTTTATTCTTTTTTTTTTTTTTAAGATTTTTATTTATTTATTTGACAGACAGAGATCACAAGTAGGCAGAGAGGCAGGCAGAGAGAGAGGGGGAAGCAGGCTTCCCGCTGAGCAGAGAGCCCAGTGCAGGGCTTGATCCTAGGACCCTGGGATCATGACCTGAGCTGAAGGCAGAGGCTTTAACCCACTGAGCCACTCAGGCGCCCCGTTAAGATTTTATTCTTAAGTAATTTCTATATCCAATGTAGGGCTCAGACTCACAGCCCTGAGATCAAGAGTTTTATGCTCTACCCACCAAGCCAGCTGGGTGCCCAAGATGATTCATTTTTGACACAAAGCTAAATTATTACTGCTGACCTAATAGGAATGAAAGATTTAAAGGAATTTTTGATCAGTGAGATCCTTTTTAGAGTTTTCATTGATAGCTTAGTTTTTAACCTGTTAGCCTAAGCTTGTCTAGTCATTATGTGTCATGAGATATTGGGAAGAATGTTCTCTAATGGACAATATTTTGACCATAGATCATACTTCTAAACTAAATTTATAAACAGCTGATTATAGCAATTTTATTTTCCTAAGAATTATTCTACTTCATATGTAACTTTGCAGATATAATGTTATATTTGCAGGCGTAATCTAATCACCATTTAAAATTAATTTTTGAATTTCAAGTTGCCTGCCTAACCAGTTTTTAAAAGATTCTGACTAGGTCTTAACCTAGAATTGCATATAAGGAGAAAATTAATTTCGGTTGGTGTATTTTTCAAGTGTTAAGACTGGTAGTTACAATTTCTGCTTTTTGTGGATTTGATAAATATGTGTTAGCTTGTTCTTATATGACATTCTTCTGGGGTGTTTTTAGGCAACATGAATCAGAATCAGCGTCTTGATGCTATGGCCAAACTGAAGCAGTTTCATTGCAGAGTCCTCATTTCCACAGATTTGGTAAATTGCCTTTTCAGTTTGGGTGACTACGCCATCTTGACTTGGGCTCTATCAGACGCACAGGTTTCATTTATTATTTTATGTGGGTGTATCTGATAAGAATATCAGAAGGGAATTGTCTTTCCAGTGCTAGGGAATTTGCTTTCTTCAAAGTCTTTTGTATTTTCATCTCTATTCTTGAAACTGGTCATTAGAAATGAATTCCCTTTGCTCCTGATCATCCTCCTGTTCTTAACTTGGCTGTTGGTTATATCAGAACAGTCGGATGTGTGTTGATGCCAGTGTAGCAGTTAATGCAGACACTTGTTCTCTTCTTCAAGACTTCCCGTGGAATTGATGCTGAGAAGGTGAACCTGGTTGTAAATCTGGATGTACCATTGGATTGGGAGACATACATGCATCGGATTGGCAGAGCTGGCCGTTTTGGTAAAAAAAAAAAAAAAAAAAAAAAAGTTTGGCTGCTTTCTTTAGGAGGAAGAATTGTAGATGTGAAAGGTGGAGCATCACTTACGTGAAACTGATCTACTACATAACATTCCCTCTGCACTTTAGGTACTTTGGGGTTGACAGTGACCTACTGTTGTCGGGGAGAAGAAGAAAACGTGATGATGAAAATCGCCCAGAAATGTAACATCAACCTTCTGCCTTTACCAGGTATATTTTGTCTGTTCATTTTGCCGTCAGAAGAATAATCATATTGGTTATAGGCATAAAAATAATAGCTGAAACGGAGTACTTAGGATATTGGGTTCCATTCAGTATGTTAATTCATTTAATTCTCACCACAGCCCTGTGAAGGGTATGCTGTAATTACCGACTTTTTGTGAATGAGGCTATCAAAGCATTGAGAAGTTAAGTAATTTGCCTGAGTTCTTATAGCTCATAAGCAACAGGGAGAAGATTGCAAGCTAATTCCTGGCACATGAAAAATGTTTTACTACTGTATTGGCTTCATATTTAGCTTGTAACCTTGTAATTTCATTTTATCCTTTTATATAACAGGGCATATATTTTATTACTTTTGTCACTGTAAAGGTAATTTTTGCCATATTCTCCTTCATCACTATGAAGAAGGAGTAGTATCTTTGAATGCTATTTTGAAAATTCTGAAGTGTTTTCTTTCTTTCCTTTTTAAGAAAGTTTATTTATTTATTTATTTGTTATTGAGTAATCTCCACACCAACATGGGGCTCGAACTCAAGACCCCGAGATCGAGTTGCATGCTCTTCTGACTGAGCCAGCCAGGCACCCATGAAATGTTCTCTTTTGATTTTAGTTAATCATATGTCAAGGTCATTTTTTTTTAAGTTCCACCTTGGAAACTGCATGTCTGAAACTATTAATGGTCTCTTGAAAATTTTTAAAAAACTGTCATGTGGAAATGTGGTTTATTTGCTATATATGATAATGTATGCAGTGTTATGGGGTTTATGTATAGGGTTTATGTGTATATACATGTGTATATGGACATATGTGTGTGTAAATATATATATAAACATATATAACATATACATGATCTTGTAGAATATCAGATATATAGTTATTGAATAAATATAGCGTGGAATATTTTACTAATTTATATATAACTCCTTTAGTGGTTTTTATAAAGCTAGATTAAGCAGAAGTCTGGGAATGAGTTCTAGCTTTGTAATTACTCATTCTGTGATCTTTTTCCAAATTTCTTTAATTGCTCCAAACTTGTGTTCTGGTTTAGAAAGTACTTGTTTTTAGAAATGGTCTTTAGGTTCTCTGTCAGTTTTAGGACACTATAGTATGTAATTCTATGTGTAAGTCTGTTGGTAACCTGTCAAATGATTATAATGTGGAAAAAATAAATTGAAAATTGGTATAAGAGGGTTAAGACTTTTGGTGTAGGATTCAGTATCCTAGCATCTAGTGATAAAAAGAAAATTTGCCTTTGCATACTGGAAAAGGACATATTTGGATCTTTTTAGTGTTCATAGAGCCCTGAAATCATGAGAAAGTATATTTGTGGTGTTAGATTTATATTGGAGTGGGAACTTGTAAGACCGTAGACTGCTCAGATGAAGTACCTGTGGCAGGAGTGGGAGAGAAATTGGCCTGTTTGATAGGTATAGGCAAGCAAGGGATATCACCTTAGTGGGAGTCAGAGCTCTAGTCAGAGGATCTGTTCAGCCAGGGTTCAGGAGCCCCAGCTGAAGACTCCTGATCTGAGGGATTAGGTCGTGGATACATACATGTGAGCACCAGTAGCAACAACAAACCGGCAAGACCTCTGTAACTCAGGGCTCTGTATGTTTTGTCTGCCTAAGATGAAAACTGATCACACTTTGGGAAGGTCAGAGTATGTAGGTGGGAGCAAATTGTCCCACCTGGATGGAATAGGAAATTCAGAGAACTGGAGCTGGCAATTTTTTAAAAAATCTCAGACATGCCATTGAGACCATTGATCTTTTTTGCAGTCATCTAACTTTTTCCCTTCTAGAGATTTTTCTTCACTGTTGGGGGCAGTGATTTCTCCCTGTTGGGAGTATAGAGTGGCGGATTTACTTGGGTGCGAAGTTGTAGTTTTACTGTTTTCCCAGCTGACAAGCTTTGGGGAGCATAATCCCTTTTCTAATATCTTGTTTTGCTGTCAGCATTACTGAGATAAAAGGGAGGAGTTGGGAGAATTGTTGCAGACTTGAACCTTACTCCTAGCCCAAGTTCTTTTTGAGTGGGAGGTATGGGGAGATGTTGCTTGTGGGTTTAGGATGGGTCTTGCATATTTGGGGGCATATTTCTTTACTGCAAGGATTATTTAGGTCTTTTGAAATACTAATATAATGTACTCCTTAAGCTTCTCAGTATATTATTAGTATATTTTATTTCTTAACCTTATTTGACCATGGAAGGCTTTATGAAGTCATTCAAAAATTGCTGGTCTAGAACAGCTCAAAATTTTAGTATTCTTTTGTTCCTTTTATGTAGATCCCATTCCTTCTGGTCTAATGGAAGAATGTTTGGATTGGGACGTGGAGGTTAAAGCAGCTATGCATACGTATGGCTTAGCAAGTGTGCCCACCCAGCCCTTAAAAAAGCAGATCCAAAAAGTGGAGAGAACCTTTCAAACTCAGAAAGCTCATGGTAACCACGTGGCTTCATCTAGAAATACTTCTGTATCTTCACTAGTAGTCAAATCAAAAAATAATACTAAACAGAAGCTTCCTGTGAAAAGCCACTCAGAGTGTAGAATCATAGAAAAAGCAATGTCACCGAAAGAAGTGGGCTGTGGCATACAATTGGAAGAGCATTCTGTTGAGATCTCTGTTGAAAACACTACCGATCAGCACCAGGTCAGAGAAGCTTTACCTGCGTCACTGCCCAAAATTCCTTGTCTGTCTTCCTTTAAAATCCATCTGCCATACTCTTTGACTTTTACAGAATTGGTAGAGGATTATGAACACTATATTAAAGAGGGGTTAGAGAAACCTGTGGAAATCATCAGGCATTACACGGGGCCTGGGGATCAGACTGTGAATCCTCAGAATGGTTTTGTAAGAAATAGAATTCCCGAGGAGAGAGTGGCAATACTGGCAAGTAGTAGTCAGTCTGGAGACTCCGAGAGTGACAGTGATTCTTACAGCTCGAGGACTTCTTCCCAGAGCAAAGGAAATAAGTCCTACTTGGAAGGCTCTTCAGATACTCAGCTGAAAGACTCGGAATCCACTCCTGTGGATGGTCCTATCTCTTTGGAACAACCTCTGAATGGAAACGACACCCCTAATCCAGCAGAGTATCAAGAATCACCTGGAATCCAGACAAAGGCCAGGCACAAAGAGGGGGCTAACCAGAGAGCCAAGCAAAGCCGGAGAAACCCTCCCAGATGGTCTTCCTATCGTGCACCGGCAGAACCTCAGGATGATGGTTGGTATGACTGCCACAGGGAAACCCATCCGAGTTCTTCTGATGCCTATGACTGCCACAGGGAAACCCATCCGAGTTCTTCTGATGCCTATCAGGATTATGAGGAGTACTGGAGGGCGTACTACAGGGCATGGCAGGAGTACTATGCTGCTGCTTCTCAGTCGTATTACTGGAATGCTCAGAGGCATCCAAGCTGGATGGCAGCTTATCACATGAATACCGTTTATCTCCAAGAAATGATGCGAGGCAACCAGTGATTGTAGGCAGCACCTCGCACCATCCAGAAATACCCACAAGTGATACATTTGGATAGCCCATCTCCTAGGCCTATAGTAGAGTGGCAGTTTTGAGGAATTTGAGAAGTCTTAAGGCTTCCTGCTGGGACACCTCTATTTTTCAGATTGTTTTGCCCTACCTGACCAGGTACATTATCTTTTTTTTAAAGAAACTTCACAGATCAGATTCTTGAAGGAAAATTTTGGGGACATAGAGCTAAAGGATGGCATTTTCTGTAAGCCATTTGAAAAAGAAACATTTAAAAAGACCTATACCAGTGCTTGCTTTAAAAAAATAAAAACAGTTGAGATTTAAAAAATAATGTCAAGTTTATGCTGTGGAGTTCTTGACAAAAGGCTTGGACTATATTTCCATAGAAGTGTGTTCTTGTAGAAATTTGTAGCATGGCAGATCAGAGAATCCCCTCGCCTTTTATGTTTAGGCAGGAAGGACTAAATACTGCTTCAGACTTTCCCAAAGGTACTTTCCTGCTTTTTGCTTCCAGTAAAAATATTTGTTACCAGTGAAACCGCAAACTTAGCCAAATGTTTATTGACATGTTTATTGTTCATCTTTTGAATGTCTTTTAAGATTGTGAAAGCTGTCTATGTTTTTACTGTGTATTAAATAGCTCAGGATCATCAGCGGTTGTCTTATTTTTGTTTCTTTTCTTTTTATTTGAAGATTTTATTTATTTGACAGAGATCACAAGTAGGGGGAGAGGCAGGCAGAGAGAGAGCAGAGAGCCCGACACGGGGCTCGATCCCAGGACCCTGGGATCATGAGCTGAAGGCAGAGGCTTTAACCCACTGAACCACCCAGGTGCCCCTTATTTTTGTTTCTTAAGAAAAGGAGTAACTCTTACTCTTTGTTGGTTCTTGGACCCTTTTATGATTCAGATGAAAGCTATAGATTTGAAAGTTCCATCTGTAAACAGGAGCTGTATGTGTAATTCTAAGAGGTTCATAGACCCTCTCAATCCCATGTATGGAACCCAAGAACTGCACTACTCTGCTGGGAGGCTAAGGGAAAGTTCTAGCTCTTTAAGTATTTTTCGGAAGCTTGAATCCATTCTGTTCAAACTCTTCCCACAGTGTGTCCTAATCTTATGTCTTTTAGAAATTTCCCCAGTTTTTACTTTTAATGTTTTTAATTTAAATTTTCTTCCAGTTTTTACTTTTAATGATACCCAGTGGGGAACATCTCATTCTTCTGAGATGATGCATCTATAAATTACAAGTTAGAAAAAATATGATTAGAAGTTACAGCAGTTCCCCCTTATCTGGGAATCTGCTTTCTGCGGTTTCAGTTACCCCCCAGTCAATTGTGGTCTAGAAGCAGAAGATCCTTTTGACATATTGTCAGGCCGGTAGTAGCCTAATGTTACGTCACAATGCCTATATCCTTCACCATCACATGGACATGCTATCATCCCAGCATCACAAGAAGAAAGGTGAGTACAGTACAGCAAGATTTTGAGAGACCACATTCACGTAACTTGTAGTATGTTGTGATTATTCTATTATTACTGTTAATCTCTTACTGGGTCTCATTTATCAACTGAACTTTATTTTATTTATATATATATATGTATGTGTATATATATATATGTATGTATATATTTATATACAGGAAAAAATGTGGGTATATATAGGATTTGGTACCATCTATAGTTTCAGGCAAGGTCCTCTGGGGACCTTGGAACATATTCTGTGTGGATGAGAGGGGCCAGCTGTACACATTCTTTCATTCCCTCTCTGGGGCAGTCCTTTCATGATTATGCGTTTGGATCCCAAACCTTTTTGTGAACTGGATTTGTGGTAAGAGAACCTGTTACAGATAGAAACGTGTTTACTTTTTAAAAGGAAAGTTCTTCTTTCCTGTATACATACTTAGCTAGGCAGTACAAACATTTACTCCCAGGGCTGTCCACAAACATCCACGGCCATTGTCATTTACTGTCCACCACTCACCTAAGCACCCCCCTGAACTCCTGTTTCACTTGGATTCCAGTCATCCAGGTTGGGCAATGGTAGGCTTTACTTACACGTTTCTGTACTGTACATGTATTGCCAAGTTAGAATGAATTAGATTAACTCTGTAAATAGCAAATCCATAATTAGGTCCAGCATATCATTAAGAGGTAGAGACTTTAATTACACACATTTCAGTAGATCCTGTTGCTATATAATTGAACTTACCTCTTTTCTTCTACCCTTTCCCCCACACTACAGCCAAGTTCACAGTCTGTCATGGCTAGGGGATTTTAATTAGGATACTGCTGCATCTTAATTAGAGATGAGGTTACCCATTAGTCTTGAAATTAATTGGATTCTCTCTTTGGGTCTCTTTGTCATATATTGTGTTTGCTTTTTTTCTTTTTACTAGAAAAATAAGCTGGAAGTGAGGACACATATAACAGGAAAATGATAGCTTCATTTTCCATAAGCATTTCCTTGGAAAATTTCAGCCATTCCCATCCCAGAGAAGGGTGGCTATGGAAGGAACCTGCCGCTATTTGTGCATGAATATATGGAAGACTTTTTTGTTTAGAATTGGCAGTTGAGGTGCCTGTTTCCGTCACCTGTTAGGAACCATAGATAGGTTTTAGGTAAATACGCTTGTGAATGCTTTCTGATGTAGTTGAAAGAGTATTTGTCCTGGTGGAGGCTCTGCTGCTGCCTCCTTTATCTTCTACCTGTCATACGACCTCTCAGGGTCTAGTTTTCTCATCAATTAAATGAGGGAGCTGGACTAGATTTTTAGGTTCCCTCCCAGTTTCTAAGACTTAATTATATGACTAATAAGAGAAAATATAGTTAGGGAAGAGAATAATCATTTCATGAATATAGAGAACCTTTATAAATTCAGGTGATTTGGATAAAGGCCAGTGTGAATTGGTTTAACATCTGAGTTCCAGAGTGCTAAACTGTACTGACCACAACTATTCAAGTTAAGCTTTAACTTAAATTAGGCTAGCAGTATTAACATGTAGAGAAATCTTTAGGAAACCTGCAGCTGCAGATAATTCTGACTTAGAAGACATTATTATTTTGCGTAATAAAAAGGTAACATTTTCTAAATTAGCATAAGTATTATAGTAATACCTAATCTTTTAGAAACATGTGATCTAAATACTAAACCCCTGAATACTAACAATTGAACAGGAATTATATTATGTGAAGACCAAATCGTATGAGACAAGGGAATAGTTTGAAGTTTTAGGGGTTTTTCCCCCTCCCCTAAATATAATTAAGTCTGTTAATCTTTCAAAATAAGAGGATATTTTTGATAATCATTGCTGACCATTGGAACTGGATCCATCACCAGGTTGTTCTCTTGTTTTGGCCGAATATGGTTTTGTGCCTCTGTGAACAAGCACATATGTCCCAGTTAACACTGAGTGCTTTTCAGTGAAAACAAACATGCATTGCTCAGTGCACATCTGGTTTACAGTTCCTGGGCTCCAGATTGTGTGAGCTGTGGATCCGTAGTGACACCTAGTGGGTGATAAGGATAGGAGCACCTGCGTTTCATAGCCAACTTCTAAGGCCTTGGAGCACCATGGATTGGCCTTGATGTTCCACTTCTATTTCGGTTTTCATTGGGATGTGGTTGTGGGAAAATTAAAAGGATTCCCATTGTTGTTGGGAATGTGTGTTGTTCACATGATGGTAGAATATGAAAATGCCTGTTGTTCTCACTACCTAAATCAGAATTAGTAAGGTTAGAGCAGGTCTTCAAGATATCTTAATACAGTACCCCCATTCCTAAGATGAAACACACTGAAGCCAAGAGAAAAGTGCCTGAAGGGAAGTCATGCAAGGAAGAGAGAGAACCTAAATGAGAGCCTCCATCCCCCAATTCCAGAGCTTCCTGCCCTACCCTACATAGCATTTCATTTGGAGGTTTCTTTTTAGTGCCAGACCCTGGTTTAGAGGAAGGAGAAAAGATTCAGTATTCTCAGCAGAACCAATACCGATCTGTAAAGGCAGATTTTCTTCCAGTAATGCAGAGCTGGAGCTCAAAACAGGGCTGTTGACAAAGGCAACACAGTGCTTGTGGACATCTCTGAAAACGTACAAGTGGGCAAGAGCCATGGTCCCCATGGTAGAGAGGCTGCTTGTACCGAGGAGGGGAGGAAAGATAAGATCGCCCCGTTCGCACCCTGCGGAGATGCTGTGGCTTCTTTCCAGCAAGACAGAAAACCCCTCCGTGTTTAAATTACCCTTAGTTTCTAGTGGATAGCAGGAGAAACGGTAGGAAAATAACCATCCGTGATCACTTGAGGCTTTGTGGCACATGGTCTGTTTAATCCAGATAGGACACATCAGGTACAGCAGTGGCACGTGACTCAGTAATACTGTAAATGATAATACATTTTAACATACTCACTACAGTTTCAAAAGAAGACGACCGGAAACTCAAGAGTTTTTTTTTTTTCCCCATAGAAAGTGTTCACATGTTTATCTTCCTGCAGTTTTGTACAGTATTTCTTCTTTGCCATTGAGATGTTGGTAAGCAAAGCCCATTTATTATACGAAAATAGAAAAGAACACACTTGATGTTTTTCACGATAACATTAACGGGGGGGGTGACCTCTAAGGAAAACATTACATTGGAATGTCTGATTATCAAAAATATACCATCCCTCCCACTTCCCAGGTTTGTAAAATAGTCTATTGGTCCAAGGAGCCCCCCAGGACTTGGGTCAGTGCCCTACACTGGTTTGGCATGATGCCATCCAGTGTAGTCAAGTAACCTGCTAAGATAAATGTCATTCCCACACTTGATGAGAAAAACGTAGAACATTCTGAATAGAGAACAAGACTCAAAAGGAACCCCCTTAAAGCTGATAGCCACTTTCTCTTCATGATGCTATTTGGGCTCCAAGGGTCATGGGTCATACAAATGCTTTTCCTTCGTCCAGTGATTGTAAAGCTTTGCACGTGATGAGATTTCATAAGGAAATCACAAAAGGAAAATAAAAATCTTCTAGGTTCCCGTGTGTCATGGTTACCATGCCAAATAGTTGAGAAGGGAAACTAATCCTGCCTTAGACAACAGCATTGGGATCTTTCTGCCTCGTCGTGAACTGATGATTGAAGTGAGGGAGCCTGGACCACTGGACTTCACGAATAACCTCAGAGTCTAGGTTTAGCTCCATTCCAACCACTTAACAACTCTGCAAAGTTAAGAAGCTGAGGGGAAAAATCTAGGTACATGTTTCAGTGTACACTTTTCCTACCTATATTCTGACAAATAAGCGACATGATCCTGAATGGCAGGAATCGAAATCTGAAAACTAGGTAAAGTCCTCAGCATGTGCACAAGGTGACTCTCATTAATCATGGATCAGCATTTACTGTCCACTTTAATTTCTGTTCAAATTCTTTGTTTCTCTTAGTCTCACTTTTCTACTTGTTGACCTTAAACTCCCATGTGATTGTAGGCTAATCTGTTCAACTGTCACTGAGGACACCTGGTCTTTCAAACAGCATTCCACGCAGTTAGTCCTGAACTTGACACTTTAAGAGAATAGGGGATGAAGGCGAAATAGTATAGTTCGCTTCTGGAGGTCCTGGTTCATGGTGGTTCTGATGGAATGCTTCCTCCCACTAATCACTACCTTGGAAGTCCAAGTATTAAAAGTAGAAGCAAACCCCAGAGCAATGCAACAGGATGTAGAAGAAAAATCTTAGGACAAGATGTCTAAGCCCTGGATTGCAATCAGTTCTGCCACTAACTTGCTGTATGAACTTGGATAAGTCACTCTTCTTCCTGCCTCTTTTCCTTCTCTGTGAATCAAGGACTTAGTCCCTTGACCTGCTACCATCAGAGGTTGTAGTAAGGATCAAAAGGACTCTAGAAAGTATGCTTTGAAATGTTTTAGTTCTCTCTTCCTGAGAAGAGGTAGCATTCGACTGAATGAAAACTCTTCACTTGTTCACTTTTTTTTTTTTTTTTTTTAAACTGAATTGATAGTCCATAGTTGGTTCTACCCAGGGAATGGTGGTTTCAAAAGGATGGTTTGTATTAGTACAATGAAATGGTTCCCAAGGGCTGTGTCCAGCTCATATTGAATCTACATAAGACTATACCTCTAGTTACAGCATGTTTTCTTTGATGAGTCTTCTCCAAAGCGTCATTCCTCTGAGAGGCAGCAACTGTAGTAGAAAAAGCATAAGACTAAAAGCCAAAGGACTTGTGTTCTGGTCCCAGCTAGGACATTAATGACTGCATGACCTTGAGCAAGTCACTTCATTTCTCTGGGCCTCAGCCTTCTATATACTGTAAAATCAATTAGATATTCCTAATCCTTTCTAGTTCTGATATATTCTTAATTCTATGTTTTCTAAGTTTCCATTCATTTGAATGTAGCCTATAATATATTATTTTTTAATGCTTTCTAATGCTGAATGGCATCAAATGGGGTAAGTGGTTTTGGGAATCTTCTATTATGCTGAAGTGATTCAGGAACTATGAAAGCTCAAGAGTCATTTCCCCCGAAAGGCATTGCCTCCAGAAAACCCTGATATCCTGGTTCTTCAGTCACTGGCCAATGAGTTAGATTGATTAAACTGTTCAGCACACTTAGGTCTTTTGGTTGACTTACAAAAGTCTTCTAGCAGCGTAGTCTTGCTGTATTCTGTTGTATAGATGCGCCATTTTCCTGGGTCGACATCCCTTGGACCAGAGGTGAGCTGGGTCTCTTATCCCCAGCTAAGTCTACACTGGGGGATAGAGATGAAGCGGATAGTCTAAAGTCTTTTAGGAACTGGCATAATGTAGGACTTAGAAATGAAGTTGAAGGAACACAAAACAGTTCATTAGGGCCAAAAATTGAGAAATTATTTGAGACATGATTTTAAAAGCTTGTTCATTAATTTTGTGGGACACAATAAAATGCTCCCTTGGTGCACTATCAAACAGACTCTGGGTTGGATATTGTCATTATTCTAATCCAGTGTTGAGCTGTTTTTAAACACGGGCAATTCGTATGTGTATGTAACCACGTTCCTATTTCTCTCTTTGTCCCTTACCCCACTCAGTTTTTATGATGTAAACTTAGATACTACAATATTCCTGACTTTGTTCCATTACCATTCTTTCAAAGGAAAAATTCCATTTCTAGTCCTTTGCCTGACTTCTACATGGAGTCCAGCCCAGTCTTTTGCCTTCCCTAATGGGATATGTGTACAAAGTGAATGGATTTAAGCACTTATTCTCCGGTGTGTTTAGGTTGATGGTGGTATGTGTGTGGGAGTGGTGGTGTGGGGGTGTGTACACATATATATTCCTCCGTAGTTGTAAAACTTTTCTGTCTACATAGACTGCAGGCTCAGAAGGCCAAAAGCATCCCATTTCCATAGGGTGGTTGCCCCCCATTAGGGGGAAACCCTTGAGGCCAGACCCAGGAAAGGACTCAGTTGGTGGTCAGCGAGCATAGCATGAGATAAAGGTCCAAGGCTCCCTCTCCTCTGTCCTTCTGGCCACCTGCTTAGAGGCCACCTCAGAACCCACTGACCTTCCCCTTCCACAGGGTGAGTAGAGCTGGGGGTCATAGGGAAGCCCACGGAAGGTGTTTCATAGGTTCCCGACTAGTGAAACTTGTCTAGATGGTTGTGGTAGGCAGAGAGGTCCTTGGCTTATTGTGAAATTGCAGCTCACCAACCTGTAAAATGGATAAGGGGCTTCTGTATCTCAGAGCCCGGAGTAGAGAGACTGCAACTAGGGAGGGTGGGAAGGGGCTTGTCACGAACCCTGAGGCCCACCTGCCCTCCTATATGCAGTGAAAATGGTAGGATTCCAGAAACGCTTTCCCAGTCCCACCAGAGTGCCAGCCACTTGAACGGGCTCTCCGGAAGTCACAGTCACTCCCTCCCTTGCACGGAGGTGATCAGGCTTTGCCCCCACTTCAGTTACCTTCTGGGACATCAGGCCCAAAGACCCTTCAGACCTCACATGTGTTTCAGGCCAGGTATGAATCATCTAGAATTGCTTACTTGCTTTCACACTTGGACGCGTCCTCCATGAAGCACACAGTCTTCAGTCTGCCGGAGCCTCTGGAGTTACCTCAGTCATAAGGTAAGTCGGAAGCTTGCCCCTTCTGCAAGAAACTGCTTATGGGGCCTTTTGGCAGAATTCTGAATGGGCTTTATGATGGGTCCCGAAAGAAGGCTACAAACCAAGGAGCTCCAGGGGCCCACTACAGCTGTGAGCCCTGGGTTCTTCTGTTCTGTCTTCACTGGCCCACACCAGACTCGACTGTGTGTCCTAGGTCCTGGCTAGTTCCTGTGTCAAGATCCCTGTGTGAAAAATCCGGTCATTCCCTTTCCCCCCCACCCAGAAATGGAAACTGCAAACACCACTGGTTCTAATTGTAAGGGAAGCACTTCGTTCTCTAAAGAAGACTTCCCTCCTCCCTAAACTCTTCTGCTTTGGCTTTATTCTTCTCTCTTCCACAGTGGCAGTCACACAGCTCTAACTCCCAGGCAGGAGTCTACAGGTGCTTGGAAGTGGAGACGGCTTTCCTAACATGTCTCAGGATCACTGGGGTCCATGTAGAGACAGATGGCTGGACACAGAGAAGAACAGCCAGGGGGGTGAAGCAGAGAGGGACAGAGACAAAGGACGGACAGAGGGTAAGTGTTGCTGTGTGGTCAGTTGGCAGCTCTGTGCAGGTCAGCTGGGCTGCGGCGGGAGGCCCCAGGCTCAGTTGACCTCACCCACCTGGGGGGATGGAGAGAGAACTCAGCAGTAACTGACTTCTTAGCCTAAAAGCTTCTGCTATAAAAGAAGGAAAAAAACAAAAACAAAAACAAACCCTCACAAAATGCATTGTTTTGGTTCAAAGGTATTGGGTCCATGGAGAAAAATATTTCACAAAAATCCGTTGATGTTTTGTTTTCCACCTTTTCCCATGAATAAATATTATCCATTAAGAGCCTTGAAAAAGGTGCTTAAATACACAGTGTTATATTTTCTTCCTGTTTTGCATGTGACAACTTGGCCTCCGTGCTGCTCTTGGTCTTGTGTTTTCCTCACCGGGGTCACCAGAAACAAGAGTTACTGGGTCTGAGGATCCCCCTCCAGGCCCTGTCCTGGCACGCAGCCTCTCCACCACCCCCCGCCATCCCATCCCCTACCCCCCTCCCTTCCTCTGGCCCCAGCGAGATGCGGTAGTACAGGGCCAGGGCCAGGGCCACGACCACATCCACGCCCACACCAGCAGCGGTGAACCTCAGGTGCCCCTTTGCTGCCTCCTTTCCCTTCCAGGCACAAGTTTCAGTGCTAGGGGTGCAACAGGGCGGGCAGAAAGAGTGGGGGGGAGGAGGGAGTGGTCCCAGTGGCCACCCACCCACATGCCAGCCCCCTTCGCTCCCACTCCCCGCACTGGCCCTCTGTCCAGTGGTTTTACAAGGCGGAGACCTTGACGACATTGCTGGCTATGGAAGGAATGTTCGTGTTGGGGCCCGGGCTGGCAGGGGGTGGCCGACTTTCTCCCTCTGGGGTTAGCGCTGGCGGGGTGGGGATGCTGATGATGGCTGTGGTGATCTGGGATGTTTTGCAGTTTGGTCTCAGTCCGTCGTCTGCTTTCAAATTAAGGCTGGAGCGACTGGGATAAAAGAAGAGTGAGTTGGTGACGGTGCTTCTTGCTAGTGTTCCCAGCGTCCTTGACCCTCGCACGTCTAGTTCCCGGTTAACTAGGAGGAAGCTCTGCCGTCCCTCTGTCTCTGGTTTTAGTAATCAGCCTGTCGCTATCCATTCTAATTATTATTTCTAACAATTACAAAGTCACGTATACCGGGCTTTGGAATTCAGAGTACACGTTTCTCTCCCTGCCATAGACCTGTTCCCCATCCTTTGTGGCATTTGACTTTTGTTTTCCCTGAGTTCCTTGCAGCTCACTGGAGGTAGTGGGGAGAGGCCTAAGAGTTCTCTGCCTCTCTCTGGCAGAGAACGGAGGGACAAGGTCAGTCTATGGTTCAAAGTGAGCCTGGGATAAGCCACGTCTAACAACTGTGAAAACTGGTTCCCCGGGAAAATGATCCATTCTTTGCACTGGGGAAGTTTCTTTCTTTGTTTTTGTTTGTTTTCCCAGTTATTGTTTCTGGTATCTAAGCCCAAGTTGGGCCTAAACCTGCTAGAGTACCCTCCCAAGCAAACAAAGGGCCTTCAGGTTAACATGCGAGGATAAGGAAGGGGGAGGGGGCTCCTGCGTTACCTAAGGGGAGAGAGGACTGAGGGAGCCTGTTCCCTTCTGGGACTGGCAGGACTGAGTGGCGGGGAGCGATGGGGCTGGAGGCCGCGCACCTGGTAGTGAGGGAGGCCTCGCACCTGGTAGTGAGGGAAGGCTGCTCACTGCCCTGGATGTGGATCGTGCTGAGCTCTTGCATGCTGCGCAGGCGAGCGGCCGGCAGGTTGCAGTTGGGCAGGTGCGTGGTCTTCTTACTACGACGGGAGCAGCAGGTGGTCGTGAGGCCCGGGTGACTGGACAGCGAGGGGCTTCTCGTGGACGGGTAGTTCTGCATCGAGCTCTCCATGCAGTTCTGCTCAAACATCTGCTCATCTATGAACTCGTGGTTCTGTGGGAAGCAGAAAGAGAAGAAGTAGGAAAAGGAGATGGGAAGGAGGGGGACGAGTCCCTGTGTGGCTGCCTGCCTCTGTCTGGGCCTTGAGAGGAGGGCTCCCAGCTGCCTGGAGCACGGATAAGCATTCGGGACGGGTGATGTCCCACAGGCATCAAAGGCAGAAAGAAAAAGATTGCTATGGGCAGCAGTGGCCATCAGGTGGAAGGGTGGGGACGGCAGCTGTTAAATCATGAGATGTACACTCCATCTGCAGCTTTGAGCTGATGGGACACAGAGGACCTGGAGGGATTTAGTGGCGTCCTCTGAGCTAGCAGCAGACTTGACTTACTCTGCGGGGTTTGCACAGATCTCCTGGGGGTAGCCGGTAAGGAGTTGCTAACCTTGGGGAGTAGGTATGCTAGGCTATCTTGAATGCTGGGTTGGATTTAATGGGTAAGATCCTTATGAATCCTGGGTACGTGTGAGCTATAAACTTTTAAAGGCACTGGATTATTCATGCAATTGGGGGAGATTTGCTCTTGAAGGCCAAGGGGTCAAACTGTCAGGGTTTTTATTTCCTTTAATTATTGTGTTTTCTGCCCCCCCACCTGATTCTGGGATGTAGATCCTTACTATATCTGGAGGCACAGTATTCCCTAAGTTAAATGTAAGCAGGGCAAGGAATGCTAACAGCTTCCTGGTGTTGAACTCAGAAAACAACAATAACAAAAATGGCCGTTTAGTCGTTTGCTCAAGGCGACTGAAAATCTATGGCACCGGTGGTCTGGCAGAGGCCGCCAGGCTGGAGAGGAATAGCACAAGAAGAGAGTACAGAGAGAGACCAGCCCTGGCAGCCAGGACAAGTCCCTGCAGAGCTGGGGAAGGGGCCCGGGGGCACTCACAGGGGACCGCATGGCCGCTGCATTCTTCCACCCTCTCCAAGGCCTTGGGGAGGTTAAAGGAGGGAAGCAGAAAAGCAGTCGGGTAGTTCAGCGCCAACACCCGAAGGCCTGAGCTGCTATTGCGGGTGGCCGTAGAGGTAGGAAAAAGCCCCCAAAGAACTGACAGCACATGCAGAGAACCGAACCGGGGGTGAAAAGAGGAGAATCCACAGACTCAGAAGAATCAGAGAGAAAAACATCAATTGAATTTTTTAAAAAGTGATACCTTGATGGTGGAGGTTCGTACAGATAACAGGGGATCACCCACAAGATAGGACGACCCCTACAGGACAACATGCCGACAGAAGATAAAAACACCATTGATTTACATTCCAGCATTCCCAAGCTCAGTTCTGACATTCAGTCCCTCCGTCCCAGCATTCCGCCCGCGAACCTGACATTGCGCCCTCGCTCCCAGCATCCTCGCTCCTTCATCCCGACATTCCACCCCTTGGCTCCAACACGACCCTGTTCAAACCCCACCTTCATTCCTTCCATCCCAACATTCTGCTTCTTCTAGCCCAACATTCCTCCCCTGAAGCCCAGCATTCCATCTCTTTCACCCCAGCCCCCTCCCCGGCCCCGCAATCCGACATTCAGTCCCACAAATTCAGCATTCCACGCCTTCAATGCCAGCATTCCATCCCGCCACCTCCCAAGTCTCCGTTCTGCAATGCCAACATTCCAGCCCCTCAAACCCGAACATTTTTACCCATATCCTTTCAGTTGACACATTCCACCCAACACATGCAACTTGGAAAGGGCAGTTGGGTCTGGGCCTATCCCATTGGCAAGCTCCGAGTTTTTGACAGAAGTTCTAGATACACATATACAGTTCTTGACAGTAAGACATTCGATAAATCCTGGAAACTAGGGTTCTCCGAGTACTTTCCCGTTTTGGAAGCCCTCTTTGGGCTCGACTGCCATCCACAGTGTGTCATCCACACTTGGCTCATAGTAAGAGTCATCTGACGTCTATTCCCCTGCATCTAGAGTCCAGGATATGGGACATTCAGAAGTAGAAAGCTCCTTTCCTAGGGTGCTGAGCCCTGACTGTGGGCTCTTTGGGGAGGGCGGGCCTCGAAAGGAACAGGGGAGGACTGTACTCTGTCTCTCTTGGGTTGTCCACCCGACATATCCTCTTCCCTTCTGTTCCTCGTGCTTTTTGCCAAGGGTCCAGGGTTGGCCCCACTGCCCTTCCTTTCAGTCTGTTTGTGGGGCACAGGCAACATGCCACATTCCAGCTACGGCTTCCTAAACCATGGCTTTATTTTCACAGTAATTCTTGGAGCATCCGAACTCCCGGGCCCTACAGGGTAACTAAGAGAGAGTGGTACTGATGGACTCCCTGGCTCCAGAACTATGGGCACAGCCTCCTTCGTTCACTTTTCTTTAAGGAGTGATGTGGGGAGGGACCCACACACTGCATCAACCTAGTCCCAGAGACGGGACAAAAACCGAGGCCCTTTTCCACTCTCCTGTAGCAATCTAGGATAAATTCAGCTGAGTTTTGAAGAGTGATGTGTATCTGGACTGAGAAACTGAGAGGCAGAGCACTGGGAGGCTCTCAGTAACCACGAAAACGGGCTGTAGGGGCCATGTAGGGGTGTGCAGAAAGGCTCGGGGCAGAGACCTTCTATGCTGCGGCAGGACGGAGCTGGCCCCCTACCCTGGAGACTGCGCCCCCCTCCTTGGGGTCTTCCTCCCGGGGGTTGACAAGGACCTCGTTGCTACTCTTTGGATCTGAAGGCAGACTCTGACATCTGCATCCTGGGCCCAGGGTGAGTATATGGGCCCAGAGTTCTCGCTCCGCGAGCTCTGGCCCTCAGAAGGGAGGGCGGGGGTCGGAAACGAGGAGGGCGCAGTGGGCTGGGACTCACAGTGGTTTTCTCCAGGCAGTGCAGCAGGTGGTGGTGCTGGCTCTCAATGAGTGACGTGCTCTTGCCCATGTGTTCCTCCTCTGGGGTGCCCTAATCAGAAAAGGAGAGAAGGCTGAGGCTCATGCCAGTGGCTCCTCCCACCTTCCCCGTGGATTTCATTTCCCACAGGAGGTGGGAGGGCGCCAGAGAAATCAGGATGATCCACATTTCAGGGTCAACAGAGAACATGCTAGCTCTGGGGCTGGGGGCCCCGGGTCTACAGCTGGGTGAGGGGGTAGTGGTGATAATCCAGTGGGAGAAGTCTGTAGAGGGGTGCTCCCTGGAGAAGGTCTGGAAACATGTCCTTCTTAGGGTTCACACTGGGCCTTTGGGGAACGTGGTGCCCCTGGGAAGAGAAAAGAAGCCCTTCGCCGCCTTCCCTGTCCCCAGCCCAGGCCCCACAGGCGCCTACCATCAGCTCTAGCGCCTCCGTAAGGAGCCCATTGCGCTTGCTGTGCAGGTAGGCGTTGGAGCTGCCTGTCTTGGCCACACGGATCCTGGCAAGGCGGGCTTTCTGTGATCGGCAGAGGAAAAAACCAGTGAGTGAACCTGAAAGACCAGACAGCAGGCCTGGCAAAGCCAGTGACAGCAGGCCCAGGGGATGCCTGAGGAAGGGGAGGAAGCGGCTTCTTCCCAGCCACACGGATCTCTGTTTGTAGACCCCAGCGCTGGGTCTGAGGCTCTGTATACCCACTTGGGGCAGCCTGGTCCTGGTCAGAGTTCCTGGGGGTCTCACTCATCTCTCTGGCTTTGGTACAATTCCAGCAGCAGGAATACCTCTCATCAGAGCCCTCCCTCCTCCCAAAACCTTCATGAACCTGACCTACTCGGTATTGCACTAGACTATCTCTCATCTCTAACTGGACGGTCAGCTCTAGAAAGGAGCGTGTGTGAGAGCTCTCCTGATGCTCCCCGAGGGCCCAGAGCTCTTCCCAGTATCCAGCAGCTGCTGGATTAACATCAGTTAGTTAGGAGAAAAGCAAGGAGTGTGCATCTGTGCCCTTCAACACATCTTCACTTCTTTCTTTCTTTCTGTTTTGTCCGTAGTGCTTATTACTAAGGGAGTATACGGTGTCAGCATTTATATCGCTATTGCCTCACAGAATGTAAATTCCTTGAGGGCAGGAGTTTTTTGTTTTGTTCAAGGATGAATCCCCTTGGCTTAGTCATTTTTAAATCAATAAATGCCTTGGGGCGCCTGGGTGGCTCAGTGGGTTAAGGCCTCTGCCTTCAGCTCAGGTCATGATCCCAGGGTTCTGGGATCAAGCCCCGCATCGGGCTTTCTGCTCAGCAGGGAGCCTGCTTCCTTCTCTCTCTCTGCCTGCCTCTCTGCCTACTTGGGATCTCTGTCACATAAAATCTTAAAAAAAAAAAAAATCAATAAATGCCTTGAAAATCGCATGTCGGTTTTGGGGAGTGGATGCCTGCATGGAGGGGCTGATACACGTCTGGGCTTGTCACACCTGCCTGTAGGAATGAGAGCAGGGGCATGCGCGTGTGATGTGGTGCCCTGCCATGTGTGGGAGAGAGGGGAGGACGGAACGCATTTTCACACACCACTCTGGCTTTAACTAGAACAATGGGAAACCTCCCTAGCCCCAGCCTAGGAGACCCCAAGCAGATCCCCTAAAGGATGGCCTCGCAGTGTCTTAAGGCAGAGGGGGCGTGGCTGCTCCTCTCCTTCCTAATAGGCGTGATCACTGTCACCATGACGGCAGCCAACCACGGGAGGGTGGGGAGGGAGGCCCAAGAGGAAAGAGTCTTCAGAAGGGTTCTACTGGCGGTCCAGGCTCCTGGGGTGTAGAGCCAGCTCTAGGTCCTGGCCGCTGGAAGCAGAAGAGCCCACAGTGACTCACGGGTCCGTCCTGGGGCAGAGCAGTCACACCCTTGCCTCTGTGAAAGTCCGCTGGCACTTCACCACAGACTCTGAGCAGGACGACTTCCCTTTCTAGTCTACCTCTCCCCAGCACCGGGAAGTGTCCCTTCCGGTGGAGGGGGGGGCCCTGCTGGGCTGCTACGTGTGCTAAAAAGAGGCCAGGTATTAGGATTCAGGCTGTCAATAGAAGCACAAAGGACAGCCTCGGTCTCTGGTTTCCTGTCGCCTGCGTGTCCCCACAGGGACAGCTTGACTCCCTTTCCTGGCCTCTTGGGCCTGGCAGACCTGCCTGGGAATCAGAGGAAGAGGGCTTCTCTGGATGGCGAGAGCGCAGAGGGGAATCCAGCGGGGGAAGTCTGGTGAGGAAGCCCCGTCGATCCTCTACTCTCTGAGCCAAGAACTTTCATCCCTGGCCCAGCTCGGTGCCGGCCCTCCCCACAGCAACATGTCCACATTCAAGCACGTGGCTCATTTCAGGATGAGGCAGCTTTTGCCTTGGGTGAGGACTGGGTGTTGAGAGCTGCATATGGAAATCCAATCGTGTCAAGCTCATTACAGCCTTATATAATTTGATTGCACCACTTAGAGCTAGACCTTTCTCGTATCTGGGGTCTGTCTTCATTACTTTCTAGAGATGAAAGATTCTCCTGTTCTCCTCTGTGGCACTTCTTTTAATCTTATCTTACCCTGGGCTCTATTAAAGCAACAGATTGTCATATCGAATGCACAACACTGTTTAATCATTTCCCACACGGGATAAAGAGGTTTGCAATGTATTTACAGAACCCTAACCCAGCACATGAAATTCGGTGAGGATTTCTCGTTTGATTTGGAGCTCCTGAGAGCCGTGGTCTGGCTTATGCGTATTTTTATCTTTGGCATCTGACACGGAGCTGTGCGCGGAGCAGGTGTTCAAGCCAAGCTGGTGAGGACCCAGGAAGGGGGACGGACCTTCCCAGTTGGACACAAATCCATTAATAAGGCCCTGGTCATGGGCTCATCCCTGTGTAGACTGTGTCAGCCTCTCCCTCTTCCACAGGCCAGGAGCACAATGTGAGAGGTTAAAAGAGAATGTGGCCATCATCTAGGCTATTTTGAAGACAAGAAAATGGAGGCTATGAGGAGAAGTAACGTCTCCAGGGCAAGGCAGCATGCTGGGGGGACTTCTGCACAGGTCTCCCTACCTTTAGGCCAAATGTTTTCTCCATAAGGGGCCTCTCCCTGAATTTCAATGCCTGCTGGGTAAGTTTCTAAACCGGATGAACTAGGTCTGGGAAGGTTCAGTTTCAGCAAGGATGGAGAGTCCATGGTTGGATAAGAGGTCTGGAAGGAGGATGCTCCCACTCTGGCTACGGTTCCAGGTGGGGTCTGGGCCACGAGAACTGACATCTCTTGCCCCAGCAGAGGCAGAAGAAGGACAAAGAGGGAGACGTGGAAAAAGCCACACAAGAACACAGCCAATTGCACTCTTGGGTGTTCATTCCCTGAGAAATGGAAAGTCACGTTCACACAAAAACCTGTTCACGAATGTCCACAGCAGCTTTACTCATAATAGCCAAAAATGTGGTCGTGTAGCCCCATGGCATGTGATACATCCAAGCCACGGGTTGCTGCCCAGCAAGAAAATGGAACGCACTATTGATACAGACAACCTGGACACATCTCCAGGAATTATGAGAAATGGAAAAAAAACAAAAACAAAGAACGAAACCCTCCAAAGGTTATGTACTACACAAATCCATTTACGTAGCATTTTTTGAAATGGAAACATTGAGTAAATGGAGGACAGGTGAACGGTTGCCAGGGCTTAGGGATGGGACAGAGGTAGGGTGGGAGAAATCCTTAGGGTGTTGGAAAGGTTCAGCACCTTGACGGAGGTGATGGAGGCATGAAGCTGCCTGGTATCAAACTTCTCTCTCTCTCTCTCTCTCTCTCTCTCTCTCACACACACACACACACACACACACACACACACACGGAATACTGGGGAAGTCTGAATAAGATTCGTGGATTGTATCAACATCCATACCCTGGTGGTGATAATTTTATAACTTACATGTGAATCTGTGCTTAGCTCAATAAAAATCCAGATGTTCCCTTCTCTCTGTCCACAGCTAGACCTCCTCAGTTAATCTTCAATTCACTTGGCTTCGAGAACCCAGCCTCTGAAGTAAATAATCGTGGAGTTCGTTTTGGTAACAACCCCAAGCAAACCAGTCATGAAGGGAAAGGATGACAACTTTTTAAGCCTTTCCTTTACAGTGGAGGCCGGGGAGTGGAGTTTACCTTCACAGCTGGGCTGACTAGCTCCTGAGTATGTGGTCTGGGCTGAGAACTAGCAGCTTCCCAGACCTCCTTCCTGTCCCAGCTCTCCACTGTCACTAACCCTCCTGTACCTGCCTTCCTCGCTTCACACACTCAGCACTCAGCACTGGAAATGGTGGTATTCTTGCATTCTTTTTTTTTTTTTTTCTTGCCTCTCAGAAGAAGTCCAAGGTGAAAGAGACCAAGCCAGCAACCTTGAGGAGAGACAGTATCCAGTCGAGGTGAAAACACTGTAAATATTTACTCTGATTTCAAAGGGAGAGGGACGAGGGTGGGAGGGAGGCAGAGGGAGGGAGAGTCAGTCTTAGTAGCTGGAAGGAAGGATACACCAAGGCTGATCCCTCCTGCTCTACAATCATACAAGATGGATGAGCCTTTTAAAGTCCCAGCCGGAAATGACCACTGTTCTGTTCCTTGCAGGGCGAACCAGCAGGGGATGCGATGCTCTTGAGAGGTAGGTGAGGGTATGGGCACAGAGGGAAAGGTAGCTGTGGGAGCAGCTGAAAGCCCAGCCTCCCTGGGGATTCCTTTGACCCTCCCCCACTGGACCAAACCCCCCTGTCAGCCTAGCCCCTGGGGAGTGTGGCTGTAGGACCCTTGGTCCTTTCTCGAGGACAGAATAATGAATTAAGACATTGTCTGATATTGTCCAACACTGACCAGCTGACTCGAACAGGAAACGAGATAAAGACTTCTATTTCAGAGCCAGAAGATCGGTCTAAGGCAGGCTGGCAACATTATAGAGCCAGGTCAAGATAAGTCAAAAGATAGCTCAGCATGGGCTGAAGAGGTGATCACAAGGTCACGCAAAAGGGACTGTGTTGGAGGTGGGAACTGATTGGGTTCATTATGTAACTGCATAACATATATTATGAAGAAATATTATATATAAATTGCCAGATGTTTCAGAGCTAATGTTCATGAACGTAGTGACATCATTTCAGACAGCATATACAGATGTGTTCTGAAATTCTGGATTCCTCTGATATGTCAAGGAGGCCCAGCTACTTGGTGTTCCCCCTGTAAATGGGAGGACAGTAGCAGGGGTCGTCATGGGAGGAAACCACCAGCCGCGCACCCAGGGCCTGACACTCCACAGGTGCGGGAAGTTTGTGGAGTGAATGAATGGCAGAAAGAATAAAATAAGGACATGAAATCTCCGCCCCCGGTAAGGACTCTCTCAGCAAGCCCTCCACCCACCCCCCACGCCCCGCTACCCAGAAAAGATCTGAGTGCGCCCCCTGGAGGTTGAGCGGCTGCTGAAGGGGTACCTGTTTCAGGCCAGGTCAGAAGAGAAATGGAAAACAGCCCCCATGGTCCTCCCCCTTCCTGATAGGAAGCTGGTGAAAGTCCCGACCCCAGAACCTTCACCGGCAGATGCCCTAAGAATGCACCAAAGCCTTCAGGCGTTCTTCCTCGTACCGCCGGCCAGTGGGGGTGCCTGCCTTCAGAAGCAGCATACACTGGACATCACCACAGACTTCTCTCAGGACCAACGGCTCTTCTCCTGCTCATCTGGGCCTGAACCCCAAACACCCCGAAGTGACCAAAGCCCATTTTGCCATTTGTCCTGGAGCTCAGCAGCTCCAGAATGCTCTCCTTTCAGAGTATTTGCTTTCTGTCTCAGCACACTTCTGTTTTCTCTGTATGTTCTGTATGGGCTAGCAGAGGGTTTTGGAGAGCACTTACGTGCCCCAGTAAGCTCCTGGCAGGCACAGGAAGGGGTCCGGGGCACTGAGTGTTGGTGGCTGAGGTCTTGAAGGGGAAAGCCAGGGGGCAAGGAAATTGCACAGAACATCCAGGAGGGAGAGAGTCAGCTTACGGGTGATGGATGGCTCACCGCACTTGGCAGCTGAACGGGGCTTGGAGCTGGAATGTGGGACACTGGTGGGTAGGAAGGGACATGAAGCTGCCTTACCTTCCAAAGCCAGAGGGTGTCTGGGTAGAGATCTGCCCTGGAGGTCCAGGCCTGGTGACCTGACCGTGACCGTGGTATAAAGCCCAAAGCAGAGGGCCAGGCCCCTGTCTGAGCCGCCCAGGCTGAGGCTTACCTTTTGTGCCCTGCGTTTATCGGCTCTCTGATTCTGGTGGTAAATCCGGCTGAAGTTGGAAACAATCACAGGGACCGGCAGGGCAATGACCAGGACGCCACTCAGGGAACAGATGGAGCCAAAAATTTTCCCTGCAATTGTTTTGGGCACCATATCTCCATATCTGAGAGAGAGAGAGAGAGAAACAAGTGTGAGGAAGAGGGGTCCCTTGGGAGACAAGCCTGGCTTCCCTGCCCATCACCCACCCACCCATCTATCCATCCATCCATTAATCCCTTCATTCAACCATAGTTTGAAGTGCCTGTCGTGTGCCTACTGTGACCTGGGAGGGAACAAAACAGATAAGATCCCTTCGTTCCCAGGGGCAACCACCCACAAGGAGAAGACCATGAGAAAATAAGGGAACACATAAAAACACTGACTTGTCGTTACTTCTGTGAAGAGGAGAGAGATAGGTGATGTGCCAAGCAGGGGCAACACGGCCAGGAACAGCCTCTCTGAGGAACTGACACTTCAGCCGAGATGTAAAAGTAAAGGATCAGGCCACACACCTCACTTGGGGAAGAGTGTGCCCGGCAGAGGGAACAGAAACGCAGAGGCCTTGAGGGAGGGGGGAGCATGGGCGGCTCTGGGAATGACTGCAGGCCCGCTGGTGGGGGTGCGGGGGTGGAGGGTCGCTACAAAAGGAGGTCGTGGCCACCCCACAGAGTGTGGATTTTGTGCCAAGCGCTACAAGTCACCAAGGATGAGTAGTAGGAAGAAAAGCAGCACAATCTCGTTTATGTTCATACAAATAACAAATAATAAACCCACCCTCTACTCACGCGGAGACTTCTCATGCACAAAGCCCTTCTGCACGCTTACCTCCCACCAGCTCCACGGACGCTGTGGACTTTCTGTCCTCAGCCTAACTGTGCAGACGAGGGAAGTGAGGCTCACAGGCAGGGGGCTGCCCACGTTGGGGCAGAGGCTGGGATTAAAACCTGTTCCTCTTGCTTTTGTCTGTTTTCTACCAAGCACACTGTCTCAGAGGGCAGCCGTGCGCTCCTGAACTCAGCACCCCCACAAGCTGCGAAGCCACTGGGGGACAGTGCCGGTTCCTCTCAGAGCTCCAAGAAGCTCTCCTAAGTGCTTCACAGCCTGGTGGCTGCCCCCGGGGACCAGCTGGGCCTGGCTACTGCTCAGCCCCGGGAAGGCAGGCCAGGGCCTCCCTCCTCCAATCAATAAGGGACTCTCCACAGTGGTGAAGCCTTTAGCCTCTTCTTTATTGAGATAAATTAAAGGCTTTATTAGGCAAAGAGCTGTGATGACTCTTTTGGCCAAAGCCAGAAATTCCATCTCCCCTCCCCCCACCCCACCCTCTGCCAGGTGGAGAAGGACCAGGAATTGCTGGAAATAGCGAGGCTCAGAGTCCCTTGTCCTGAGGGGACCTAGGGGTCCTGAGGACTCAGAGGAGAAGGGGAGGGGATAGGGCGGATCTCCTCAGGAGTGTGACATCCTCCCCTCCTACGCACCTAAGGGCTCTGTGGACAACCTGCCAGCCAATGACACATATTTGGTGAGTGAATGAGTGACCTCATTTAAGCCTCTTGACACCCCGTGAATTAGGCTCCTCTTTTGCGAACGCTCTGCCCTCTCCTTCGGTGTCTTGGCCCCTTGTCCTGGCTTCAAGCTCTCTCTGTCAGGCCACTGACGCTAAGGCCTGAGGCCACTCTTTGTGGGAACCCCAACATTAGACTGGCCTCTCTGCCATGCCGCTCAGGAGGGGCCTCGGAGAGTGTGGTCGAGACCCTGGCTTCTGGACTCAGGTGACATGGGTTCCAGCCCCACCCAGCTCATCATCACACCACCGCACAACCTCAGGGGAATGTGACTTTGGGCCTCAGCCTCTTTGTCTGTCAAGGGGAGAGAGGACGAGTAACCCGGACCATGATCCTTTGGTGACACGTGCAGCTCCGTAAGCCATCCACAGCCGTTACTCAGGCCCAGGCATCCCAGAAACCATGGTCTCTGGGGCCGGGAAACTCTAAAAACACAGCTGCTTGTCCCACGTTCAACTAATCCCGATGAGGAAGGAAAGGGGGTTGCCCCTAGAGGCAAATGATGCTAGCTGGGATTTTCGGGGATGCGACTGAAAGGTGGACATCGAGCTCATGGCCGTGGGTGGAAACGAAGCACGGCAGACGTGTGTCAGCACCGTGTCAGAAAGGCTACATTTTGGGGGTGATGGAGGCTGGTGAAAAATGCTAAGGGCACACAGAAAGGTGGTTTTATCCCCTGGAAGAAAGAGTGAGGAGTAGACGGTCTGCACAGATGGTTTGCTGGTGACAGATGACAGAGCCAAAGCAGGACAGCCCAAATCCCGTGCGCTCTCTGCCTTCCCTCCACAGAAGAACAGGCTTTATCTGGGAAAGGCTGAGGCAAATGTGGGGCGAAAGGATGCGGAGCTCGAGGGAGAGGAGGGGAGAGCGGGCGAGTGGCCAGCTGTCTTCACTGGAGGCTCCTCACAGCCCACCTGGAGCCCACCCCAGGAGACAGGAGGGAGGCACAGATGGAGTTGTAGAGCCTTGCCCATGACAACTGAGAAATCATGGCGCAGCGCAGAAATACCCAGAGACTGGAGGTCCCAAACCGCTGTGTTGATATTTTTGAAGACGGGGAAAGGAAGTCTGAGAAGCCACAGACCAACAGGCTTGGCACCCTCAATTCTGCCATCCAACTGCTGGCAGAAATTCGAGAGCAGATTATTAAGCGGACAGCTTGCAAACGCTTGGAGAATGAGCCGGATTGCTCACTAGGCACGCATCTGGCCAAATTAACCTTATTTCTCATTTCGGGAGGGTTTGCTGGCTGGTGGATCAGGGGACGGCTGTATCGTGATCTTCGCAAGGTGTGTTCTTGTCCCAGTTTTTCATACCCTTGACAAGCTGGAGGAATGGGCGTGGATGGCAGCGCTGTCAGGAGGGGCTAAACAGGCACCTCCAGCCTTCTGGCGCTTTCCAAAGATGACCAGCAGCGGTCCGAGGCCAGCGAAGGAAGTTCGTGGTTTTCGTGCCAGAAGGGTCTCCTTTAGCGAAAGGGTAAATAAGTAAACGGAATAAAGAACGGATTGAGAGCTCAGTCTCCAGTGGTGTGTTCCAGAATTTCTCAACAACTTACATAAAGCCAGAGGGAGGCAGCATGGCCTAATGATTGAGAGAGGAGACTGGAGATAGGTCCCAGGTTGATCCCTGGCCCCACATTACTTACTGGTTAAGTGACCTTGGGAAAGTTATTTAAGCAGAGTCTCTACCAATATAAAATAGGTTTTATATACCTAACTTACAGGGTTGTTGTAATAATTAATGAGATGATTCAGAAGAGGCACTTAATGCTATCTCTGGATACATGTAAATTCTCTACAAATAGCCAGTGTGGTGGGCACCTATTATTTTTTCTGCTAATGGCTTAGCCATCTAGCAACTGTGCCTCCCCGCCATCACGAGGGAAACTCTGCCCAGAGGAGCTGGTTCTCAGAGGGGATGCCGTATTCTTACAAACCTTGCCCTCTCCCCTGCTCCCACCAGGCACGGTTAACAGGTTCAGAAGGAGGCACCTGACTCACGCTGGGTCAGGGACCGTCTGTCCTGGATTCATTTGTGAACAACTTTACTGACCTATAACTTATATACCATATAATTCATCCATTTAAATCCTACAATTCAATGTTTTAAAAAAGATTTTATTTAAAAAGATTTTATTATAAAAAAAGATTTTATTAATTTATTAAAGAGAGAGAACATATGAGCAGGGGGGTGGGGAGGGGCAGAGGGAGAGGGAGAAGCAGACTCCCTGCTGAGCAGGGAGCCCGATGCTGGATCCCAGGACCCCAGGATTATAACCTCAGCCAAAGGCAGGCGTTCAACCGACTGAGCCACCCAGGCGCCCACAGTTCAGTGTTTTTCAGTGTATTTCCTCAGTTGTGCTACCATCACGACAGTCTGATTTTAGAACATTTTCATCACCTCCACTCCCCCCCCCCCAAAAAACCCACACCCATCAGCAGTGGGGGGATCAGCCCATCCCCTCACCCCTCAGCACCAGACCACCACTAGACTACTGTCCGTCTCTACGGACTTCCTTTTTCTGGACATTTCATGTCAATGGATCCCACAGTTGTGGCCTTCTGTGTCTGCCTTCTTCACGTAACAGAACGTGCTAGGGCTTCAGGTTCGTCCCTGTGGTAGCAGGGGACACTATTTCAAGCCTTCTTATTGCTGAATAATGTCCCATCGTACGGATGTCCCGTTCTTTCTTTCCCCCCGAATCCGTTTAGGGCCACTTGAGTCGTTCCTGCTCTGGGGCTCTGACGAATCCATTCTGCTCTGAAGATCCGCGTGTGCGTTTTTGCGCGGAGAGGTTTTCCTTGCTCTCGGAGTCCCAAGGTAGCCGCGTACTTCACAGCGTAGGGGACTGTGGAACTGTTTTCGGGAAAGCGGCTGCCGCACCTCGCGTTTCCACCAGCGCTAAATCAGGGCTCCGCTCCCTCCATATGTTCACCGACACTTGTTACTATTTGTCTTTTGATTCTAGCCATCCTAGTGGGTGGGAAGTGGTATCTCACTGTGGGTTTGGATTTGCATTTCTCCTGCAGGCTACTCATCGCAAGCAACGTCCTCCCTCCCCTGGAGTGCTACCTTTGAGATGAGACCGATCTCTTCCTCTTCACGGAGGGCTGCCGCGCCGTAACAGAAGGGCATGGGCTGTGGGTGGGGGTGGGCCTAGGACAGGTGGACGCGGAGCAAGAGGTGAGACGTGGAAAAAGAAAGTCTGATGGAGCCTGAGTTCCCGCCCTGACTGTGAGGGCCAGCTTTACCCTCGCCTTCCCTGTGGCTTAGCTGTTCAGTCTCTCTCCTGATTCTGCACACCAACAAATTATTGTTTTCGGTTTTAACCTCCTTCCGCTTGGATCCCATGATAATAAGATGATGGTGATGGTGTTGATTGGGCTACTGCTGATCATTATTATCTTTAAGGTTAATTTCCTCCCTTAGAGTCTAGCTGCTATATATTATCCTATTTTCAGTTTCAGGCACACGTCATAGAGATTCGATATTTTTATACATGACACATTGATCCCGTAAGTGTGGTTGCCGCCTGACACTACACGGATGTGATGATATT